TAAAGTCGTAGACTAATTTGTTTTTTTCTAAATGCGATCTGATGCTACTTGCTATAATTAATTCAAGAAATTTCCTCGCTACTAAAGTCAAACTAATCGGCCGGTAATTTGACGCAGATGCTCTGTCTCCCTTTTTGAATATGGGTACTACATTTGCCTGTTTCCACAAGTCTGGCACAACTCTCGTGTCTAATGATTTTGTAAATAAACCTGTAAATAAATCTGTTCCTTACTCTTTCAAAACTCGAGGGAAAATTTCATCCGGCACTGGGGATTTTGTCTTTTTTAATTTATTTATCTTCTTAAGAACATCCTCTTTTCTGATAGTGATATTCATTAATTTTTCTTCGTCATTTCCCCTAAATATCAGTTCCACCTCTGGAATTTCCTCGTGAATTTCTTCTGTGAAAACTGATAAAAAGTAGCTGTTGAATGCTTTGCTTATTTACTCACTATCATCGATCACTTCCCCTCTCTCTGACTTTAAAGGCCCACTTTCTCCTATATACCTGGAAAATTCCTTTGGGATTCGCCTTGGATTCTCTTGCTATCCTGATTTCGTAGTCCCTCTTTGCCTTCCTTACACCTTTCTTAACATTCCTAGATAGTTCATTATACCTATTTCTGAGCTGCTCCTCCCCTCCCTTTAATTTCTTATAAATTCCTTTCTTTTTTCCTATGTCATGTTTAAGGTTTTTTGGTCATCCATCTTGGCTCATTCTTATATGACCTAATTTTTCTGTTTGGTATATTTTGTTCTTGTGCTTTACGTAGTATACGAGTGAATATATTATAGTCATAATCAACTGTTGTCTCACCTGTGACCTCACCCGTTCCTACTGGGGACTGACCTGACTGTTCCCAGGCCACCTCATCTAGGTTCCTTCTTAACCCCTGTTGATGCCTCAATTGAAAGTTTGGGACTCTGACTATATTGTCATTGTTTTTCGTTTCCCAATTTAGGGTGAACCTGATTTCTCTGTGATCACTGTTCCATAATTCTTCCCCTATTGTGATATCTCTGATAATATTTTCTTTATTTGTTAATAATAGGTCTAATATATTGTCACCTCTAGTAGGTTCTGTAATTAATTGTTTCAAAATATTATCCTGCGTCTAGGAAGTCTTCAGATTAATAGTCACCTACAATGTTGTCCCAGTCAATATTTCTGAAGTTGAAATCCCCCATAATGCACAGGTTGTTGTATTTTGCTGCCCTTCTCATTTCCTGCCATATGGGCTGAGCTGCTTCTTTCCCAAGTTTTTCTCTTCCTTCCGGAATTTCTACCCATACAGACTCGGTTCCAATTTCACCCTTTATTGAATTATTAATTCAACATTTTAATGTATCCCTGACGAAGAGTGCGACCCCTCCCCCCTTCCTACCTTCCCTGTCCTTGTGAAAAAAGGTTGTCCCCTTCTATTATGGTACTCTGATAAAAAGATCTTGCTCGCCAGATTCACCCAAGTTTCGGTGATTGCTATGACGTCTACATTCTCGGTACATACAACCGCTTTCAGCAAGTTTGTATAGTATACATTTAAACCTACCCTTCCTTTGTCCTGTGTTACCCCTTGTCCTGAGTAACCAATTTTACTCCCCAGGACCTGCTTGTTTTTTAACTCCCACTTACCCCGACCTCTCTCTACTGGCGAAACTCCCCCCTTTGGAGTGACAATTTTACCCTCCAGGGATGTAGACAACGTCTTTACCCCCGCGCGAGACAAGTGTACTCCGTCACGACTGTACAGGTAGTCGTTGCCATAGAATGGTTGCCAGTTATCAATGAATGCCCAACCATTGCTTGCACAATGTTTTTCCAGTCGGCAATTTATAGCAATTACCCTGGACAGCCATTTACGACCAACTCCTCTTGTAGGCAAGACACCACATACTATCGGCAACCCTCCCCTATCCCTAACCTTCCCCAGCGCCTCCCTATACCTCTTGAAAAGTTCCTCACTCCTAACCTTTCCGATGTCGTTACCTCCCACACTAAGACACACTACTGGCTTGGCACCCTCCCCTGACAAAACCCTACCTATCCTCTCAGCTTCATGACCTATCCCAGCCCCAGGAAAATACACCCTAGCCCTACGTTTCCTATCTCTTGCACAAAAAGTCCTATCTAAGAACCTCACCTGGCTGTCCCCAACTACCACTATCTTACCACTGGGCAGGGTTTGAACAACTGCCCTATTCTCTCCTGGCACCACATCGTCCTGCCTCTTCTCTTCCTCACACTCCGCCCCTCTTCCTCCACAACACAACGATCCACGGCGGCCATTTCTTCTGGTCACTAACATGAGCACTTAGGGGCTGGGATTAACATCCAGGTTCCCAATTACTGCTGGGTAGACAGAGGCAAATGGCGTAAAGAAACTTGCTTACCATTACACCAGGCCGCATCTCGATTATGCTGTTCACTTCTGGTGCCCTTATTATAGAATGTATATCAATTCACTGGAGTCGGTGCAGCAGACCGAGAACTGCACCTCGGCAAGACGAGATCTTCTCTGCTCCCGAGGTACTAAGTGAACCTGACGATGAGGCTGACCTGTGACCAGGCGAAGGTCGTAAGACTGTATCCAGTCACATGCCCTTCGCGCAAGCAACTAAACCTCCTTGTCCTCAGGAAATTTTTTGACTCCTTAGGAATCAGGGGGTTGACAAGGGTCGTCCGTAGACCAGTGAGTGGTGGCCTTATCGTCACCTTCGCGGAATGGGGACAGGCCCAGCAAATAGCCAACATAACAGAAATTAACGGGATCAAGATACTAGTGGAAGCTCACACAGAGGATAACTTGGTGTTGGGAGTCATCTCCCACACCGAGATAGAACACCTTGAAAAAGAAGAACTGGCCGAGCTGATCGGAGACCAGCACTCAATAGTACGGAAGCTGACCAGTGTAACTGCACTGGTTGGTTACCCAAAGAATCTACCAAGCACCGTATTGCTGGGATGGGAGAACATCCCAGTAAGACCGTATGAAAGAAGACCACCAAGGTGTTACAAATGCCAGAGGTATGGCCATCTGGCAGGGAAGTGTCGAGCTCGGGAGGTCTGTTGCAGTTGCGGGACACCCGGGCACCAGCACACCAACTGCTCGGCGCCCGCCAAGAAATGTGCAGCTTGTGGTGGCCCTCACTCCTCCTCCGACCGGGAGTGTCCCAAGTGGAGGGAGGAGTGTAGGGTGGCTAAGCTGCGAAGCAAGAAAAAACTGAGCTACAAGGAGGCTCTCCTTATAGTGAAGACCGAAGAAAAGAAAAATCAAGACCCTAAGACAGGGGTTCTCAACCAGGGGGGAATGCCCCCCAGGGGGGGAAACTGATTCGGGAGCAAGAGATATGTTCGATGAGAAATCAATCACAGAATTTTGGCCCTTGATGTGCGAGTCCTACCCAAAAGTGGCAGAAAGAGCTATCCGTGCATTGCTTCCGTTTGTGTTGACATATCTTTGTGAGTCAGGCTTTTCAACTCTGTTGCAAATTAAAACGAAGCAACGTAGTAGATTAGAGGTAGAAAATGACCTGCGTTGTGCCCTTTCAAGCACTCCTCCGCGTATCCCAGAATTGGCGAAGAAAAAACAATCACAGGTTTCTCATTGACTGTAATCTTCATCTGAATAAAATTAATTACAAATTTACAATATCCTGGTATTCTATTGAACTTTTTGTTTATTGCATTATGCTTCAGTTTGGTCTGTTAAGTAATTCATTATAAATAAAAAAAAAACTATTTTACTTTTATTCAAGTTTTATAAATCCATCAACATTTTCAATTGGCATTTAATTTGTAAAACTCCACCATGAAAATAATCCATGTAAAATTGTAAATGTATATGTACTAATATGGAAAAAATAAAGGATTTTCAGTATTATATGCATATTATTTGGAATGCACTTTTTGAGGCAGACAATCTTGGAAAGGAGGGGGGGAATGACATTCTGACATATGGTGAAAGGGGTGCATGGGGCAAACAAGGTTGAGAACCACTGCCCTAAGAAGACCACAGAAAAGAAGCCAGATTTAAACAAGACCGGAGAAAAGACAAAAAAGCCAGATTTAGTAACATTAAAATCATCAGCGTTTTTAGACTTTTACGAGAATATACCAGAACAAGACCAAGAAGAAGAATGGAAATTGAAAAGCAAAAGGAACAAAAGGGAGAAGTCCAAGGAAAACGACTCAGGAAAAAAAAACAGCTTCGGCCGAAATAGCCTAAAGGCGAAATGGCCAGTAATTCCCAAAACAAGGACAAAGACAAGGTGCAGTGAAGAATGAGGAAAATGATTCCGGGATTTAGAAACCTTCCCTATTAAGATAGATTAAAGAAACTAAACTTGCATTCCCTAGAAAGACGAAGTGTGTGGGGAGATATGATAGAAGTATTTAAGTGGGTGAAAGGAATCAATAAAAGTGATATAGAGACAATTCTTATAATATCCGAGCAGGATAGGACTCGCAGAAACGGATTTAAGTTGGATAAGTTTAGGTTTAGGAGGGAGATAAGAAGAAACTGTTTCACAAATAGGGTGGTAGAATAGTGGAACAAGCTTAGCAACTTTGTAGTAAGTGCTTGGACGCTAGAAAGTTTTAAAAGGAGGCTAGATAGATTCTTGGATGATAGAGAGTGGTTGTAACTCTCGACAGGAGCTGCCATGCGGAGGCCAACCGGCCTATTGCAGACTCCTTATTTTCTTATGTTCTTGTGTTCTAGTTTATTTCATCTGAAGATTTGATACCCCAGTTTATTTCACGGGATGATTAACCAAGTTTATTTCAGCCAAAGATTTAACATGTTACTGCTGAATATTAGACACCCAGTATATTTCACCTGAATGTTAGACAACCGAGGGATGGGTTAAGTTAGGTTAGGTGAGATTAGATCAGGTTAGGATGGGATGAGTTGGGTACCGTTACAATAAGTTAGGTTAGGTTAGATTATAACAAACCCAAATTAATTATTACACTGACTAATTATTTCGTTGTAGGGAAAAGGTGGGAACGTCCAGGAGAGGTGGGGAACACAGAGGACATCTCCAACACGACTATCATTGAACTTCCAGTCAACTTTCAAAGTAGGAGAATTATGTATTTGGTAATCTCATGATCCAACTAAAACAGGTCTGCTAACTAATTAAACACAAACATCAAAGGACTCTGTAAACATAGAGTCCTTTGATGTGTTTGTTTACAGAGTCCCTCGACGTTTATGTACCGTATACTTAGCTAATTTATTCACAATTATCATCAGTGCATGTCAAAGCTTACAAAATATCACTTTCAACTTTGTCCGATAAAAACTACAACAGTATTTTAATTTCTAGTAGCGAGTCATCGTAAGTTCAAAATTTCCTATAAATTCAGAACATCGCAGATATTTATTACATGATGCATCTCATTCAGGAATTCATTTATATTTGAAAAGTTGAGTATTTTATATCAGCTGCGAGAAAGAACCGAGAGAACACACCCAGTAGGCGGCCAACTCCAGCTGCCTGTTTATAATCGGCGTCCTGTCTACAAAGATATCTAACTTAACCTAACCTAACCTAACCTAACCTGACCTAACCTGACCTGACCTAACCTAACCTAACCTAACCTAACCTAACCTAACCTAACCTAATCTAACCTAACTTAACCTAACCTAAATATGTTGTAGACCGCACGCTATGGTACCACCCTCTATTCTTAAGTTATGTAATATTAATAGTAGTAGTAGTATAAGTGTTTGATGACCTGATGACCTGATGACCTCCCCAGGGTGTGGCGACCGGCAGTGGGGAGGCTCTAATGATGAGGAGCAGGAGGGAGTGTGGCATAATCCCTTTACGCTAAAGAACCTCAATGCTGTAAGTGTTATCTGTTGGCTTGAAGTAGACACCCTAGTTTGGCTCACCTGATTTATATAAACCGTAATGCGAACTTAACCTGACCTAATATAACATAAAATATCCTAACTTAACACAGTATTGCTTACACTAACCTAACCTAACGTAATATAACATACTCTAACATAACATAACCTAACGTAATATAACATACTCTAACATAACATAACCTAACGTAATATAACATACTCTAACATAACATAACCTAACGTAATATAACATACTCTAACATAACATAACCTAACGTAATATAACATACTCTAACATAACATAACCTAACGTAATATAACATACTCTAACATAACATAACCTAACGTAATATAACATACTCTAACATAACATAACCTAACGTAATATAACATACTCTAACATAACATAACCTAACGTAATATAACATACTCTAACATAACATAACCTAACGTAATCTAACCTAACCTAACACAGTATAACCTACACTAATCTAACCTAACCTAACCTAATATAACATACTCTAATTTAATCTGACCTAATCTAATACAGCATAACCTACATTAATCTAACCTAACCTAATATAACATACACTAACTTAACATAACCTAACCCAATCTAAGCTAACCTGATTTATCCTAATCTAACCTAACATAATCTAATCTAACCTAATACAGTATAACCTACTCTAAGCTAACCTAACTTATTATAACATACTCTAACCTAACATAACCTAATCTAACCTAACCTAATCTATCCTAATCTAACCTAACCTAATATAACATATTCTAACCTAACCTACTCAAACGTAACCTAACCCCCAGGTAGCATTAGCGTGATTAATCACCAGTTAAATAAGCTGGGTTGTTTAATCCTCAGGTGCTGGCCCCTATTATTTTACAAATAATAATAATAATAATAATAATAATATTATCAATAACAGTAATAATAAGAACATAAGAATGGAGGAAACTGCAGCAGGCCTATTGGCCTGCTGCAGTTTCCTCCAAACTGGGCAGTCCCATTTACACCCTACCCTTATTGCTCATATATCCACCCAAAATATGTTTGAAGCTATCCAGCGAATTTGCGTTATTGATTATGTTTGGTAACTTGTTTTACTCATCCACTACTCTATTTCCTTACCAATGTTTACCTATCTTGCCCCTAAATCTAAATTTGTCTAATTAGTAATTATATAAGACTAACCAGTGAGCGAAATTGATTGAAAAAAATATGAAAACACTGGATTTTCACTGTTATATTTTAGTGGACACTTGTAGTTTGCGGAAATATGTAAAAAAAAATGGATATTTTAAAAATAAACGTTACTTAACATTTGTGAGTATGAAAAACAGACCTAACCAATCTAACCAAACAAACCTACCTCACCTTACCTAACTTCCTTACTGGGGTGCTCTGCCCCTGGACCCCCAGGTATATTAAACAGAAAGAACTTACTATGATATGATGAAATTTTTGACAATTTCTGGACATGAGATAATACGGCCGCATTTGCGCTATGCACCCCGAGCAGCAGAATGATTTACTGTGTTGGCGGGTTCTACAATAAATGATTATCATATCAGAACTCACTGATGAAAACAATGTAAGAAAATAAACAGACTCCATGTAAAGGAATAATGATGTGATCTTTAAACAATTGAAGGGTCTTGTTGTCTTTACCCTTAAATTCACAAATTACTTCCATGTGAGATCGGCGACAAACTTCACACGACATGCTGAAAAACAAACTGTCCCTTGTGCTGGAATAGCACCTCAGCAGAGCGAGGCCTCATTACCCCCGCGGGCAAGATAAACTAGTGCGCGTGTAGGGGTATCGAGATATTAATGTTGTCTAGCACTCAGGATGGAAGGAAACTCTAATGTGGTTTTCTTGTATAATATATATAAGTTATATGATAGACAGTCTGGTGCTGGAGGTGCTGTGTGGTGAGGGGCTGCTTGGTAGAGACGTGCTGTGAGTAGCTTGTTGAAGGAGGTAGATGTGCAGGAGCTTCGTTAGAGAAGATGTTGCCTGTTGCTGGCCTCCTGGTTGAATGAAATGTTAACAGCGTGGAGCTTGCTGGAGGAGATGTTGCTTGTTCAGGAAGAATGGTCAGAATGAATCTCGATACGATACGAAGTCTTTAGTTAAGAGGTGAAAGAAGATTATTAGGAGTTGAAGGAAAAGTGGTGAAACTGAAATACAGTAGGAGTAGAAAGAATCTGGGCTCAACCAGATCGCTTCATCTTTCTTATTGGTGTTTTATCTTTGTTCTGCTCCCTTGGGTCGTCAGACCTTTGTATTAATATTGGTTTATTTATATAATGCTGCTTATTATTATTATTTGTTATTGTTGGAGTTGGGGACAGCTCTCGCTTGGTTGCTAGGGAAGACTGTAACAGGTGGTGGCGTGGCTACGCAGTTGTAGGGAAGAATTCCACTACACGCGCCTAGGCGCCTAATTATCTATGAAACGAACAATTTCCACAATAAATGATTATTATATCAGAACTCACTGATGAAAATATTGTAAGAAAATAAACAGTAATAAAAATAACTCGCTCGTGGGTTAGTCCTATATATTAGCCGTCAAATTTAAAACCATTGTTACGAGTTTGCTCCTGGTTGGATAGTTTGAATACCTTTGTTATATCATCTTTGTTTAACCTTGACTTCGATTTATACACCTCGATGATATAGCCCCTCACTCAACGTCTCTCGAGGGAGTGCAAATTAAAAACATTTAACCTGTCTCTGTCCTCAAGGTTCCTAATGCCCGGGTTTAGTCTCGTCATTCTCTGAATTCCTTCTAGGGATTCTATATCCAATCTGTAGTGCAGTGACCAGAACTGCACTGCATAATCCAAGTGAGGTCTCACAAGCGCAAGATATAGTTTAGGATAACCTCACCAGTCTTGTAGCTAACACTCCTTTGTATGAACCCAAACACTTTGCTAGCCTTGTTTCGAGCAAATACACATTGTTGACTTGGTTTAAGATTCCTACTTATCATTATTCCTAAATCTTTCTCACACTCGGATTTCTCTATAACAACGTTGTTCATCTGGTATCTGGTTTCTCTCTTTACATCTCCTGACTGAGTACTTTACAATTATCTACATTAGATTTCATCTGCCATTTTTCATACCATTCGAAGAATTTGTTTAGATCTTCCTGTACTTTTGCTGAGTCGTCTGATTTAATTACACGCTCTAATTTAGTGGCATCAGCAAATTTACTTTTGTTGTTGTCTACGCATACAGCTATGTCGTTTATGTATATAATAAATAGTAATAGAACAAGTACTGAGCCTTGGGGATACTCCACTAGTGACATTACTTCAATCGGATTTAGTGCCGTTATTGCTGCTACTACTACTACTTTTTTTTTTTTTTTTTTTTTTAAACGTGGCCTCCAGCCTCCCCCAATAGCCACACCTTCGCCACCATTAAATTACCTTAATATTAAATAGCCTAATACATAAGTAGCTATCCTATCTGTGTTAAATTAGTTGAGCCGCAGGTCTATGCGGCATTCAGTGACAGTAGCCTCAAAGTCAATATCTGCAGCAGTTGTCGGAGTTGGGGCAGAAGCTCTCGTTCCCCTGAGGCAGAGCAAAGCCGACCGGAGGAGAGAAAAAGACAGTCGACATCTCATCCAGGCTGTAACATAACTTCTGGGCTGCTGCTTCTGTTCGGAGATCAACTCCGCATGTCTGGCGTAGAAACATCTTGCACTTGGTCCCATCCCACCAGAGGTTGTGAACACTAGAGGAGTGAAGCTGCCTTGATCAACGTTTTGAATTCTCTCCCCATATGCCCTTCTCTTGTTGTTCTCGTTCCTCCTATGTGCAGCATCGAGAGCTAGGTTACGGTGACATGCTGCCATGGGATCAAAAATCCTGATGTCGAAGAAAGCTCGCTGTCCCAGCGTCCAGAATCCTCGAGCACTGACGTCCACACGGGCTTCGTTAGATGTGTTTGAAGTCCTGTGTTGGAAGATCTCACATTCCGGCAGATTTCCTTCAACATATTTGTTGTGAGATCCCTTACCTCGTCATGCCTCATGCATATGAAGCCCCCCTTCTTGCACACCATGGCGTGATCGCCATCATAGGAAGAGCCACACACGTATTGGGAGGGCAAACCTTCTACTGGCCGACCGTACCTTAGAGCAATGGCATCTGTAAATTCTTGTTTATTAAGACTGAAACCATTTGCACTTATCGGTAACGTAGTTAACCAGTTCGAGGCGCCCACCTCCTGCGCTATAGCTACTTTTTTTTCAAATTTTCTGGTACCTGCAGCAATAGTTGCTGCAACTTATCATTTTGGCAGTGCTGTCGATCTGTCGTAATGGACCTACGAATCTTATTTACTTCTCTGGTATCCACTTCCCCTGTTGCATTCTGGGCTATTATGTGGTCGGTGAGGGCTGCTGTGAGCTTAAGTGAATTTTGATGTTCAGTGGCAGCAATCTCCTCTGGAGTTGTTAGTCCCATCCCTCCCAGTCTTGGTGTAAGTGCAGGAAGTGCTCTTTCTGCTGGGGTTAAGTCAGGGTGTTTCACTAATTTGGGAATGAACTTGACCCTGATATCTTCTTCCAGAGAGTGGAGAAGGGGTCCGATATCAGGGATAGTAGGCATCAGGTAGTTCCAACGATGCTTGACTCCATGGGTGAATGCAGCAAAGGCCGCATGTGGCTCTGTGTTAGCAATCTCAGACAGAGCTTGGATTTCACTAACCCACTCATTCACCTTTCCCGCTAAGTACTTGGTCTTGAAGTCCGTAGTGCCAATTACTGAGCCTAGATGTCTTTGGCCGTCCTTAGTTATTTTGACCTCACTTCCGCCAAAACCTCCAATGCCCGTTCATAATGTTCTGGCTTCACGATGGGGAAGGACTTGCTGGCGTTTGGGTGGTACCCTATTTGTGGACCTCGCGATGTTACCAAGTCCCCACCACTTTTCCTGCTCCTGTAAAGTCAT